ACAGAAGTGCCAAGTGATATTTGTGTGTTTATTTAGCAATAATGGTGATTATACATAGTCCGTGGCACTACAGGTCACAGCAATGCCCGGTGTTTGTGGAACTACAAGGTGCAGCAATACTAGCTGGGATGATCAAGAGTGCTCATGATCCAACATGGGAATCCACCACCTTAGAAGTAGAGACCGGACTTCTCCAGGGTCAGGGCTATGCAAAACCAGCAAAGGATCCTTCCTAGGAGAAGTCCAGTCCCTATTTATGGTTTCCTGAGACCCCCTATAAGGATCAGCATTAATGCTAGTATACAAGTAGCGTTCTGGTGAGTGCACATGGTGGTGGTGGTGGATGGATTCCCATGTTGGTGGATTCCCATATTGGATCATGAGCACTCTTGAGCATCCCAGCTGGTATTGCTGCACCTTGTAGTTCCACAAACACTGGCCATTGCTGTGACCTGTAGTGCCATGGACTATGTATAATCACCATTATTGCTAAATAAGCACACATATATCACTTGGCACTTCTGTGACCTGCAGTGTCACGGACTATCCACTATTTATATTCAGAATTTTAGAGTTTTTTATGATTCTATGTGATCGGAGACGTTTTATTTGATTTATTCCTCTGGAATATTGTATGATCACTTTTATTCACATAAGCACTTTATGATTGCATTTGTCAGTGGTGCTTTAGCTCTGCACTTACATTTGACTTGATTACTGTGGGTTTGTTACCTTGCCTTTTGTGCTTGCGGCTACCATATTATCTGCGCTCGCCTCATATCTTGTGTTATATCAAAGATTAGACCCGGCTCCGCCGATCATTATTTAAATGCCAGAGTCTCCACCACTCAATGAAGTTCTGACATTTGACAGCTGAATGACAGGGGTGAGGCTCCTGCAGATTTGGGCTCCACAGGGACTGAACTGAAGACTTAAGTTAGCATATTGATATTTTTTTGTTCAGACTGCGGGATGAATATAAGAAATCGAACACATTTCTTCATTTATGCTAAACAGTGCCGGTGGACAAATCTCCCACTGTGGTTATTATATTCTGACAAATGGTGCCGCCAGCTGTTAAAATCCTGAACCATGCTTGTGTCTGACTGGATGCAGGCACTGTTCGCTCATGGCTCTTTTGATTTTTAAGATGAAGGATGTCAGATCGATTTTTGACTTGTTCATTAGGAACCACATGAAATTAGTCAAGTGTTTGGCTGGCTAAGCATAGGCACCACAAAGAACTGAATTTCAGCAATACCGTTGTCTTATTGCTTTGCTGCCTTGCTGTTTCAAGCCTAGTACAGTTCTGTTACATATTGGTTAGAAGTCTCAGGGGTTTTTCAAAAAGTAGATGGCTATCTGGGAGGTGATGCATAATAGAAATAACTAACTGACTGACTTCCAGTCCAGTAACCTCATAGGAAAAAGCCAAAACTAAACATGGTGCTTCCGTTTGTCTCAAATGGCAAAACATTGCACAGCAAAGCTTCAAAAACATCAAATATCTTAATCGTGCATGTTACTAGTAGCTCACATAAACTAACTCTTTGCTATGAAGTTTAGTCGCTCTTAAGCAACAAAGCATCCCTGTAAATTGTATCCATATGGCAGCTCCAATATACATGTAAAGACAAAAACGTTATCTTAGCTGATGAAAATAGCAGCTCATAAGAGAGCCTTCTTTCACTGTCAACAACTTATTTGGAAGCTGTATTTCATTGCTAGGACATGCAAATAAAAGCACTCAAACATGGTTTGTAAAACACAGTCATACAAATGGCTCCTGGTTATTGAGAGGTAAAGATGAAAAAACAAATTGAACGGGCTCCACCCAACTCCCATGGTCCTCTTGTCCAGCAAGGCACTAGAAAATATTTCAAGTTTCGGCATTTGCTGTTTACTAATATGCTTTGCAGGTTTTCCCATTTCTGTGATGCTGTGTTTAAACTGTTCCATTTTAAATTGGACCTGTTAGACCACCTTTGATCAGTTCCTGCAGAAGCTCCAATTAAGTGTAGGGAGACATCACCCTCTTTTTCGTTGGGACTAGTGCTATACTATATGACCAGAACTTTGTGTTCACCAGATCATTGAACCTATGTGTGCTTATTGGATATTCCATTCCAAAATTTTGGATGTTATTGAATTGGCCCCTCCGCTTTTCTGGGAAGGTTATTTTTTTTTTACAAAGTATTGCAGGTTGCATGGGAAAATGTGTACATTTTCAACTAAAAGAACATTTGTGATGGCAGGGACTAATGTTGAATGAGACGATCTGGCTCACAATCAGCATTCCCATTTATCCCCAAAGTGTTCAGTGGGGTTTATGTCAGGGCTCTGCATAGACCACAGAGTTTCTACATGACAAAATCAATTGTCATCAAACCATGCCTTAATGAACCTGGCACAGAAAAGGGTCTTCCCCAAACTGTTGCCGCAAAGTTGGAATCACACAACTGTCTACAATGTCTTTTTATTGTATGCTGTAGCATTATTAGAACCCTTCACTGAATAGACAGAACTCAGTATTTGAAGTGGTGTTTACGTACTTTACGCTGCATAGTAGGTGTGATGGTCAGGTGTCTATAAAAGTTTGGTCACATCCTGTACCTCTGAGGCAACATATCACAGAGCATGAAGCTGTACATGTGTGCAAATAGCCAGAATTTTTCTAATCCCAAGAATTGGAAGAGGTCAGCCTCCAGCCCAGGACAGGAACCTCAGCTAAAAGGTAGGTGTGACGTGAACGGACAGGTTCCCCATAAAGAAGAAAGAGCAACCCCTTCCCCAAAATGCTGTCTGGTTGCTATGTACCGATATATTCTTCAGAGATGCAATAGTCAATGCTGACAGACAACATTCCCAGTACTGCACTTGAGGTGTATTCAGATCTGAAGGAATGTCAGTCAATTCAATTAAGACAAACTGCTCTTTAAAAGAATTATTTGATACCGTAACAAAAATATTGATGCTTATTAAAAAGTGAAAGTCACAGCCTGATACTTTAGGGTAAACACTGCAATAATAAGTCCAAATATGTCCACACCAAAAGTGCCCTTTACTTTCTCTTTAAACTGTAGGTCTGGGCAAAATAAACCTATTGAGTACATCCCTGCTATGTCCTGTATGTATATTTCCCCATGTTCTCTCTCTCTTTAGAAAAACATTCAGAAAAACATCTTTTGAACTGCCAGAAATCCAGTGACTCCTAACTTCCTGTAGTGAGCCGACAATGCTGCCTCTGCTGCACTGTAATCTCAAGTAGTGTTGTCAGCCCTGCCCAGTCCTCTTCCTTAAAGTGAAGCTATGCTCAGCTCCACGCCAGAGATGTGGTATCCTGGAACTCCCTCGCTGGTTGCTGACATCTTTGGTTGGTCTTCAACCATTCTGTTTGGCCAGGCAAGGATGATGCCACTCCTACACATGCGCTTGTGTTCATTCATCTTGGCATATGCCAAAATTATACACCAGGCTGCGCATATACACTGGGAACAGGCGGGTAAGAATACTTTAATAAAGAAGGAATTCATAGCTTGTAAGCTCTAACGAGCAGGGCCCTCTGTTTCCTCTTGTACCAAACCGTATTGTAACAGTAATGTCTACCTTCATTTTGTAAAGCGCTGCACAAACTCTTGGCGCTATATAAATCTGGCGCTATATAAATCCTGTATAATAATAATAATAGTATGTCTCTTCTGTATTAAAAAACAAATCGCAAATCCTAATTTTTTTTTTATAGTAAAGTTCCATTTTTAAGACCAAATTTACATTTGGAACCGGTTACACTCTAAATACGGGTGTAATATGTAAGATGGAATATTTTCCAGCACCTCCCTCATCCCCCCCCCTTCCCTGCGATACTGGGTGGGGGTTCTTCTCCACCCCAGCTGATATCACATTCAAAACTGGCAAGGCTGTGCAGGGCTCCAGATCTCTGCAAATGAAAAAAAGTCCAGTCTGGCACTGATGAGTGCTCTTGTAGAGCACTGAAACTTCCTCCAGTTTTCTAACAGAAAGCCTGTAGAGGAGTACAGGCATAAAAGCTGGAGGAAGTGTCTGCAGGAGCATGACAGTGCACCCACGATCCACTGATTGCAGGTGCAATGCTTTGCAGGCTCCTGTAGGAAAAAATAATAAATGCAAATATTTTTGCAGAAAAAAAATGCATTTATTATTTTTTTCTTGAAAAGTAAACTTAGCCTTTAAATTATTGAGCTGAGGAAAGGGGGAGATGTTTTGTGATCCAGTAGAAGAGAACTCAGGCACGGCTGATAGTATTAATTGGTCTTCAGCTGCAACAAAGGCAGCATTTTCAGTTCACTACAGGATAACAGGAGCTCACTGCATTCCTGGCAAGATAAACTGATATTTTCTGAATTTGCAGCATATTGCAGATAAGTACTGCATCAGGTTTACAGTAATTGTGTCCAGACCTACAGTTCAAGTCCACCTGGTAAATCTAATCTCTCTAAACAAACGTTTAGCACACTTCATCCAGAGGCAAATAGAAGGCACCCTGGTGCCACAGTAAAAACTCATCTAAAGTCCAAAATATTGAATTACTATACCCAGAGTAAATTCTTCCATTTAAAGTGGGCAGAGTTTGACCCTCTGCAGAGATCTCCCCCACCAGCATGGCTGTAACAGTTCAAGTTTGGAGTGTATGTGTGTGCAAGTGTATGTCAATTTCTGACCTCTGTGTCAGCCTCCCAGGGGCAATGAGACCTCCTGTCCAGCAGGCCAACCACAACACGTGCCTGACTTTCAATAATTTTCAGCTCTAAATCAAGTAATGTTCATTCACAGCATCACGGATAAATAGCAAAACCTGCATTTCTGCATTCAGAATATCCCTTTTTTGTTAATCCTACACACAAATGAAGAACGGAAAAAAATTCCTGCCAAAAAGAAACAAATCTCCCACCCACCCATCAGTAAAAAATATAGATTTAAAATATATATTCCTATTTATATATGTATATCCATTTCCATTTGCATTATAAGCCCCGATCTCTGTTGAAGATTTCTAATATTGTGGAGTTGGTGTTTTCAAAAGTCCATTGCTGTGTCTCGGAGGATGGGTTACAAATGTTCATGAAGATCTTGCGGTCTGATTCGCTGCAGTCTAAACAGCTGTTACTGACGGGGTGATAGATGGTCTTATCCTAGGAACAGAATAGGCAGATTATTATTTGCGTGAAGGTGTACCTGTGGAAATGTATAGGATAGAAAGATAGATAGACAGACAGACAGAGATGGCAGAGAGGAACATGTCTATGACCAGCTACTGAATACCAAACAGACAGACTGACATAGGAAGACTGAGATTGATCTGAGAAACTCTGAGCAGACAGCCAGATGCAGTCTAGCTATAGCATTCTCTCAATCAGTCCACCTGTCCGTCCATCCATCCATCACCTAGCACCCTTTCCTGCCTATAAAGGAAACACTTAGACCTACTGACCTTTTTGTATTTCCAAAGCTGGTTCCCTCTCATCCCATGGCAATCAAAGAGTGTGACAGGACTGGTGTGAGATATGGCATCAAAGCATACTTTTTTGGTGTGCAATGGATCTCCAGGACGTATGTCTTCTCTCCATCCCAGGGTGAATACCTGTAAGAAAGTTTGTGTTAGCTTTTTCCTGCTGAGCTGTGATATGTAAAGAAGACTGAGCCATCCATCCTATCTACCTGCACAGTATTCCATGCATCTGCCTTACGCCCCTTGGTGCAGGTTTCCAGTCGTAGCTCAGAGCCCACAGAGGCATGCTTACTGTCTGCACAGAGGCCTGTCTTCTTGTTCCGAATCTGTAGAAGGGAGGAAAAAAGAAGACTAAACCAATATTCCCCGTTTTTTAAAAATTAATCATAACATTGAATAAATGGATTCAGTAAACATTGCTTAAAAGAAAACTCTACCTTGACCATTTTTTATAATATCTTGTAGATCAAGATCGCTTTTAACCTACTGAAAGTCTGTATACACGTATTTATTGGAAGAACTTCTGCTCAGTCACCAATTAGATGCACAACTTTAGCAAGTTTGAAACTGATTGGCAGATCTGTAGAAGTAACCCTAATGCTTCACATTAACCTTTAGTTTGCCCATGCATACAGTCCTGTCAAAGCAATTGACACATACAGTTGTGTTCAAAATAATAGCAGTGTGTGGAAAAAAAGTGAATAAAGCTCAAAATCCTTCTAATAGCTTGTATTTCCATACACACAAATGCATTGGGAACACTACACATTCTATTCCAAATCAAAACATGAAGAAAAATATATCAAATTTGTGTTGTTCCTCTAAAAAAATTGAAGAAAAGTGATTATTAGACTGTTCAAAAAAATAGCAGTGTTTGTATTCTTCTTTACAAACTCAAACATTCACTATATAAACTGAAAAATGTTTGAAGATTTTGCTTTCCTTTGAATCACTTAATGAATATTTCGTTGTATAAGCACTGTTTCTGAGAACTGCTGTACATCTGTGTTGCATGGAGTCAACCAACTTCTGGCACCTGTGAACAGGTATTCCAGCCCAGGATGATTGGACTACATTCCACAGTTCTTCTCTATTTCTTGGTTTTGCCTCAGAAACTGCATTTTTGATGTCACCCCACAAGTTTTCTATTGGATTAAGATCCAGGGATTGGGCTGGCCACTCCATAACATCAATCTTGTTGGTCTGGAACCAAGATGTTGCACGTTTACTGGTGTGTTTGGGGTCGTTGTCTTGTTGGAACACCCATTTCAAGGGCAGTTCCTCTTCAGCATAAGGCAGCATGACCTCTTCAAGTATTCTGATGTATTCAAACTGATCCATGATCCCTGGTATGCGATAAATAGTCCCAACACCGTAGTATGAGAAACATCCCCATATCATGATGCTTGCACAACCATGCTTCACTGTCTTCACAGTGTACTGTGGCTTGAATTCAGTGTTTGGGGGTCGTCTGACAAACTGTCTCCGGCCACTAGACTCAAAAAGAACAATCTTACTTTCATCAGTCCACAAAATGTTGCGCCATTTCTCTTTAGGCCAGTCAATGTGCTCTTTGGCAAATTGTAACCTCTTCAGCACGTCTTTTTTTCAACAGTGGGACTTTGCGGGGGCTTCTTGCAGATAGCTTGGCTTCACATAGGCGTCTTCTAATTGTAACAGTACTCACAGGGAACTTTACACCTTCTTTGATCTTCCTGGAGCTGATTGTTGGCTGAGTCCTTGCCATTTTGGCTATTCTTCTATCCATTCGAATGGTAGTTTTTCGCTTTCTTCCACGTCTTTCAGGTTTTGGGTGCCATTTTAAAGCATTTGCGATCATTTTAGCTGAGCAGCCTATCATTTTCTGCACCTCTTTATATGTTTTCCTCTCTCCAATCAACTTTTTAATCAAGGTGCGCTGTTCTTCTGAACAATGTCTGGAACGACCCATTTTCCTCAGAATTTCAGAGAGAAATGCACTGTAACCAGCATGTACAACATTTGCTGCCTTCCTTCCCTAAATAAGGGCAATAATTGCCACCTGTCTTTCAAAGAATGACTGACCTCACTAATAGAACTCCACACTGCTATTATTTTGAACATGCCCCTTTCAATGAGTGATTCAATTACACAGAATTAGCAGCATGCATGTCATGACTGTTGGATTTCTATTACTCTACTACACCTGCTAGTAAATTATTTGCCATGTAGAAATATAATTTCTACCAAAAACAGTGATTGATCAGGTTAGTGATGTCTGACTGCTATTATTTTGAACACAACTGTAGCTGATGAGCACTATATTGCCAAAAGTATTGGGATGCCTGCCTTTGCATGCACATTGACTTTAATGGCATCCCAGTCTTAGTCCGTAGGGTTCAATATTGAGTTGCCCACCCTTTGGAGCTATAACAGCTTAATCTTTTCTGGGAAGGCTGTCCACAAGGTTTAGGAGTGTGTCTATGGGAATATTTGACCATTCTTCCAAAAGCGCATTTGTGAGGTCAGGCACTGATGTCAGATGAGAAGGCCTGGCTTGCAGTCTGCATTCTAATTCATCCCAAAGGTGTTCTATCTGGTTGAGGTCAGGATTCTGTGCAGGCCAGTCAAGTTCCTCCACCCCAAACTCGCTCATCCATGTCTTTACGGACCTTGCTTTGTTCACTGGTGCGCAGTCATGTTGGAACAGGAGGGGGCCATCCATAAACTGTTCCCACAAAGTTGGGAGCATGAAATTGTCCCAAAATGTCTTGGTATGCTGACACCTTAAGAGTTCCCTTCAATGGAACTAGGGGGCCAAGCCCAACCCCTGAAAAACAACCCCACACCATAATCCCCCCTCCACCAAACTTTACACTTGGCACAATGCAGTCAAGCAAGTACCATTCTCCTGGCAACTGCCAAACCCAGACACATCCATCAGATCGCCAGACAGAGAAGCGTGATTCGTCACTCCAGAGAACATGTCTCCACTGCTCTAGAGTCCAGTGGCGGTGTGCTTTACACCACTACATCCAACGCTTTGCATTGCGCTTGGTGATGAAAAGCTTGGATGCAGCTGCTCGGACATGGAGACCCATTCCATGAAGTTCTCTACGCACTGTTGTTTTGCTAATCTGAAGGCCACACATTTGGAGGGCTTTAGCTATGGACACTGCAGACACACCGTGCTCTTCAGCATGTGCTGACCCAGCTCTGTCATTTTACGTGGCCTACCACTTCATGGCTGAGTTGCTGCTGTTCCCAGTTGCTTCCACTTTGTTATAATACCACTAACAGTTGACCATGGAATATTTGGTAGCAAGAAAATTGCACGGATGGACTTATTGCACAGGTGGCAACCTATCACGGTACCACACTTGAATTCACTGAGCTCCTGAGAGCGACCCATTCTTTCACAAATGTTTGTAGAAGCAGTCTGCATGCCTAGGTGCTTGATTTTATACACCTGCGGCCATGGAGATGATTGGAACACCTGAATCCAACAATTTGGAGGGGTGTCCCAATACCTTTGGCAATATAGTGTATGTAAACTGGTCTGGTACTTAAAGTATATGTAAAATCTTTTTATTTGATAGAATAAGGAACATAATCCTCTACAAATGAAACTATTAAAGAAAAAACCCTAAATATTTATTTATTATAGGTACTTCTATAGCGCCGTCAATTTACACAGCGCTTTACATATATACTGTACATTCACATCAGTTCTGATTCTAGTTACCAGTAAATTATAATGCAAAAGGGCAAATATGCACAGACAATTGCCCACATATTTAAAAAAAAAAAAAAAGTTTGAACGCCTTCCTTTAATGTCCCATTAAATTGTTCATTTGGGCCAAGCTAGCCCAAACAATTTTCTGCACAGGTGCGCTTGCTGGAAGCTTCTGGTACATACAATATAAAGCCCTGTGTTCCAGCAATGGGATGGGGGTTTCACCTACCACTCCCAGAACAAAATATTGTCGGGCTAATCTCTGCTCAGCCTTTCACAGGAAGCTTTATATTCTATGAATGAATACACAGTTTCTTCTGATTGGCTGAGGTGGAGAGGCAAGCAGTTGACATCACGATCTTCACCTCAGCCAACAAGGAGAAGCTTTGCATTTATTCATAGAATATAAAGCTTCCCATGATTGGCTGAGCAGCATTTGGGATGACACTATTTTGTTCTGGGAGCAGGACAGGAAGTTTTCACCCCTCTGCTGGAACACAGCACTGTATACTGTATGTAGCGGAGGCCAAGCAAGTGGACCTGATAGTAAATAGTTTGTTTGGGTCAGCTTGGCCCAGCCCAGGCAAACTATTTAAAGGGACTTTAAGCGTAGTGTTAGGCTTTACATTGCTTGTCATTTATAAAATGATTTTGGGTTGTTTTTTTTTCTTATTATTTATCACCATAAAAGTTCTGCCTAATGTATAGATGAGGTTATAGTTTTTTCATTTTTTGTGCTGAGGCAAATTATATAAATACTTTTTGTAAGAATGTAACACACTAAGATAGTCTATCAGTGTAGTTTGGGTATGCTTAAAGACATACATCCATTGATAGCACTGATTTAGGGTGCTCAAAGTTTTGGGATATGTCAGTGTGGCTTTTTTGTTGGCATTCACACCCGACATGGTTTTTAAACTGCACCATTACTACTGTAATTGAAACGTAATGTACCTCCAAAGCAGCTTGTCAGGTGAAATGTGTCAATGGGCTTAGTAGGTTGTACTCCTGTTTCCTGCTTTACACCAAACCACCTTGCTGCTGCCCTGCTATCACAGTTCTGTGGCAGAGTCCAAAAAGGAGGGTGCACAGGCCTGGTACATTACCTTAAAAATGAGATTTATTTATAAATTGTAAAATACTCACAAGAGAAATATAAAATCAGATCAAAATGAGAAGCATGTCATAAGGGATGCAGAGTGGTTCAGGAACCCCTAAAGGTGGTCTGGTGGGGAACTGTGAACCTCTGGACAGCTGGTGGATGACGCGTTTCGAGGCTGTACCTCTTCTTCAGAGCCAGTGTCCTGGACCACTCTGCATGCAACATGCTTCTAATTTTTATCTGTTTTTATATTTCTCTTGTGAGTATTTTACAATTTATAAATAAATCTCATTTTTAAGGTAATGCACCAGGCCTGTGCACCCTGTTTTTGTTTCTTATATACAGTTCTCTTTGGATTTCACTGGTCCATTGACACATTGCAAGGCTTGCATTCCTTTCTTACTCATGTGGGAATAATGACATTGTGTGGAGTCCACTGTCCAATGCAAGAGCACATGCATCCGGTTGCTTTATTCTTCTTTCCTGTGGAAGAGTCCACCTGACAGTGGATTTGATCCTCTGCACAACAGCACTCAGTCTGGAAAAGGGAATGGCAACACTGGGAGTCATGCTGACAAGAGGAGAGAGCAGAGGGATGACCTCATTACTTGCTGCTGCTGCTGCTTAGCCAGCAGGCTAGGTATGGAGAAGGGACACCATTGTATCCCTTCTACATCTTAAAACTAACAGAAAAAGTGGTGTCATCCACCAGACTGTGAAATTAGTTTGCAGTTAAAACAGCTTCCTAGGTCCCTTTCACACGGACATTCCATCTGTCCGTTTTTCATCTGTCTGTAGACAAATGAAAAACAAATAGCAACGTATTCCTATGGGCAAATGGATGTAATCATCATTCATTTACATCAGTTTTTCGTCCGCTTCCATTCAGGCCCATTTCTTTTTCTGCATTTATGTTCCATTCAGAAAAACTGATGTAAATGGATGTAAAATGAATGTAACTGTGGACGTGACTGAATGGATGACACCCATGTGAAAGGGGCCTTACATCAGTAATATGTACTTTATTTGTCTTTAAAGCCGTTTGCTGGACTTACACCTTAATATTATTTTGCCACACAAAAAGGTTGACCCCTTCCTGGGTATGGAGGTCCTTTGAATACTTTTCTGGCCTGACTTTCACTTACCTCTCCCCAAGAAGCAGCAGGAGGCTCAACAGGCGGGTAATATTTTGGCAAGTCCCAAGCCACTTTAGTCATGAACCACTTGAAAGTCTGACAGTTTAATCTGCTGCGCAGCTCCTTCTGAGATGTCACATCACCAGGTGAGAGATGCCGGTAGTCAGGGCGTCGTTGGTAGATATATTCTGCATATTCATCCATCCACACTTCAGCTACTCTCTTCAGGTTCTATAAGGGGAAATAGACTTCTCAGACAAAGCTTCAAATGCTATTACTTGCGAATACCCACCAACAAAGACAATATAATTGGATTTGTTGGTTAAAAGTACCATCAAGATATAAAATGGAGTTAGCAACATGACCACTAGATGGGGCAAAAACAAAGCGTATTCCTGTGTTCAGTGGCTTGGAATGAATAGTAGAGAAATACATTGTGCTCCAGTAAGTACAGCTAAGTATATGTTTATGAGATCTTTTCTCCTTTCATGTGTTGAGCCAGGCTCAGACTATCAGACACCAGGAATTCTTAAAGCAGCCTTGCATTTTGATCATGATATGAACATAAAAGGGGTACGTATTTTTTCTAAACCCATTACTTTGCTTTAAAGTCTTACTTCCCCTTTAAAAAAAAGTAGCAAAGTAGCACAATATCTAGTGGTAAAAATAACAGTATACAATAAACAGCACAACGTACACAGTGGAGCAGAATAAAGTATGTAAGACAGGAGAGGATGCAATGGTTCAGAATATGTCATGTACTGTACACCATACAAAGTGGAGCAGTCTAGAGTGGGTATCGTGCATCACACAATACAGAGTGGCGTAGTCCACAGTATGCAATATTTTACACAGTGTAAAACATACTGCATTCTGCAGTAGAGAAAATACATCACAGCTCTCTGAGCTGAGCAATCTGCACTACATAACATGCAAGCACAGCATACAGAGCACAGCTTCAGTATGTAATGTACAGCACAATGTACAAAGTAGAGCAGTCTTCAGTACATAACATACAGCACAGCTTTTATAGTTTTGTGCTCTGTATTATGTAATGTACTTCACAGTGTAAAGACTAGAGTGGTCTTCCTTATGTAATGTACAGCATGATGTACAAAGTGGAAAAGTCTAAAGTATGTAACATACAGCACAGCTTTTAAAGTTTTGTGGTCTGTATTACATAATGTACTTCACAGTGTAAAGAATAGAGTGGTCTTCTGTATGCAATGTACAGCACTATGTTCAAAATGGAAAAGTCTAAAGTATGTAACATACAGCACAGCTTTTATAGTCTGTATTATGTAATGTACTTCACAGTGTAAAGAATAGAGTGGTCTTCCTTATGTAATGTACAGCACTATGTACAAAGTGGAAAAGTCTAAAGTATGTAACATACAGCACAGCTTTTAAGGTTTTGTGGTCTGTATTATGTAATGTACTTCACAGTGTAAAGAATAGAGTGGTTGTCAGGAATGGACTTGCCAGTAATGGTGGGACCCACCTGCCTTGTGGGCTGCAGTACCAGGGCTGTCCAGCGGGTGCTCCCGGCAATCAGAGACTCAACCCTGCAGCCAGCCAAACACCTGAAGTTGATCATGCAGGTGTATTTAAGGGATGGCCAGACCTGCAGTCTCGGCCTTGGTGTGTGGTTTTCCTGGGCCCTGTATCTTGTTCCTGCATCCCTGTTCCTGTTCCTGTCTCTGTCTGATTCGTTGCTGACCCTGCCTGATCCGGACCTCTGCTGACTTCTCCTGTTTTATCCCTGGCTTGTGACCCCGACCATTCTCTGCCTGACCCCCTGTACCTACCTGCCCTATTGATATTGACCCGGCCTGCCTGACGACGCTTGCATTGTATGTACTGTTATCTGTGGGTGGTTTGGTTTGGTTTGTTTGCACTGTGTTATGTTTTAGTATTGCACTGCGTTTATGTTTGTATTGTTAGTCTTTAATAAATTATATTGTTCATAACTTATCTGAAGCCTGCGTTTCCCTGCGTCAGTCACATACCTCTGGTCACACCCCGGAGCCCTGACAGTGGTCTTCTGTATGTAATATACAGCACTATGTGTAAAGTGGAAAAGTCTAGAGCATGTAACATACAACACAGGGCCCTAGAGCAAGTAATGTACAGCATGGTGTACAGTGGTCTGGAGTATATAACCTACAACACGGCATACAGCGTGCAACAGTCTGGTAAATAAAATGTACAGTGCAATTGCACAAAGTGTGGAAGTCTGGGGTGTAATTATCTACAGTGTTGGGTACATAGCAAAATGTACAGAGTATGACTGTAGAGAGTATGTAGTGTACAGCACAGCTAACAGTGTAGAAATGCACTGAAAACCCCCATTTCCACTGTTTCACACTTGCAAAGCTACAAGGACACTAGAGTTAGGAAGCATCCAGTAACACTGCATATGAATCCAAAGTGTCCACTGTATGCTAGGTTAAGGAAGTTACTAAATACTTTCCGCAACATGGCGGCGAACAACACCCTACAAACATGTAGTGCACAGAGGACTTCCAAAACTAATTAGTAACACAAGTTGTACTCTTCAAAAGGTAGGTGTGCAAGGGTGAGGGGACTGAAGATATACACCTCCAACCTGATGCTGCCAAATACTGTCATGCCTGCAGTTTTGCCATGGTGTTATGGTGTAAAGGACTGATACCGATATCTCCCAGTGAACAGTCTGGTGTATGAATGGAAGATCCACTAATGTCAGTAGAAGAGCTGTATGTGAGAGGAGTGCGTACATCTATAAGGGAGGTGTGTTTGTAGCGGAATCATCTAGACAGAAAGTGGCTACAAGGTAAGTGGGCTGTGGAAGGGTTGAATGCCTACAGGTACAACCAGATGCATTTTTTTGTGGTTTATACGAACTACGGGATGGATAGAGTGATTCAAAGAATCCTAGGCAGAATTACAAAACATTTTGTTGTATACTGAAATATATACAAGCTAATAAAATTATATAGGTTAATAAAATCAATAGAAAATTGGTAAAAGCAGACAAAATCCTATCATGAAACTAGTTCAACACCTATAAGTATACGAAAAAATCAGGCAGGGTGACCAAGACAATGCTTTGCAAAACAAATAGAACATAATGGTTAGAAACAGTAATGCAACAAATGCTTCTTCTCCCGCATAAAGTGATATTAAAGGTTTGTTTGTTTTTTTTTCTTTAAATAACAAACATGTCATAATTGCTTGCTTTGTGCAGTGGTTCTGCACAGAGCAGCCCCGATCCTCTTCTTTTTTGGGTCCCCCCTCTGGCATTCCTGCCCCCACTGACCTTAATAGCAAGCTGCTTGCTATGAGGGCACTGGTGCATGCTTGCTCCCGAGCCCGGCTGTATACCTTGCCCCACGCTCTCTTTCATTGGCTTTCTGGCTGTGATTGATAACAGTGGGAGCCGATGGCTCCCATTGCTGTCTCAGTCAATGAGGAGAAGGAGCCCCGGGACAGCTGAGGCTCTCATGCACATACCTTGATCAAGAGGGGGCTCAGGTAAGTATGGGGGGAGGGGTCTCAGGTAAGTATGGGGGAGGGGGGGGGGGCTCGGGGGTAAGATTTTACATGCAATTATGGCTAGCAGCTAAGATAGCTGTAGCTGCTAGTAGTAATCACTGTTTTCTCCTGGCGGAAACAGCTCCCCCCGCCGGAAGAACACAATGGCCTTAGCAGGAGGGATTCCCCCATCAACACAGTCAGTGGTTGCAGGACAGAAAATCACTCTGTCTATGGCCGGCATTAGTCCAGAGGTTCTCATTTAAATTCATTGTGAAAGAAACTACTAGATGGCAAACAGAATATAGCATGCAATCAAAAAGACATAGGGCTTTAGGGTCATGATTATTTTATTTTTTGCAATAGGGAGCAGGACACGAATATTTTTTTTTTTATACACGCAGGAACAAAATTGTTAACTTAAAGTGTTACTAAACCCAGGACCCTGTATTCACTATATCTGGTCTCCCACCGTACAGGGAACATGAAAATGCAATTATTTTAGTAAATATCTTTTCTCATCAGCACTTAGAGCAGTCTTGATACTTCTATCACCGTCCACCAGAGTACATGCTAAAGCTTGTAGGAGGAGTTTTCATTTTGCTCTAGGAGGATGCAGAACCCCTGACCTCTGTCTGGACAGTGCTGACTGGCCCTGTGCTGATCACATGCACTCTACCAAGAAAAAAAAAAACCCTCTCTAGCAATAAACACCAAACTGAGCATGTGCAGAGTGACTCCACACGATATGTCTTATTAGGAGATGAGGGGGACACTGGAAGAAGGGGAGCATCAGAGAAGTCAGGATCAAAAAGCCTTTTTACACAATGCAGAGGATTAACCCCTTAGGTTCCACAGTGAGTATAACAAGCATGCTTTACTGCATATACAGACTGATTTTACTGTTGTGGGTTTAGTAACAATTTAATATTGAAGGTGGAATAACTTTACCCTTGCCAGACTGACACCAGCAGGAACCTTGTAGGGCACATATTTCCGGTAAATATGTCCCACTCGAGAGCATGGCGCATCTTCCATCCGACCTCCGCACATCCACACCTGTAGCAACATACAAATATGACTGGTTAGCCAAGGACAAGGGGAAATCTGTGAATTCATCCTTCATGTAAACCATATATACTGTATCTAGTCATTTAGCATCTTACTATTATTATTCATGATGTGTAAAAAAAGGTCAGAACCTCTGTAAAATTATTATCGCTATTTGTGTCCCAATTTCCTTTAATGTCCTATTCGGGCTGGTATCATTCTCTTGAACAGGAAGGAAAAAAAAAACAGACAAAGGCTCTTATCCTTCCCCAGTCTAGTTTTAAAGCCCATGTTGGAACCCTCACTTCCTGTCTTTGGTGGCACTGGTAAGAGGAAGTGAGCGTACATCTACACAATGGGACCTCAGATAGGAATAAGAATTTTACAGAGGTTCTATTTTTCCCTAACTCTATCCAAATTACAAAAATTCTGCTTCTCATTTAATTTTGTTTATTTATTTCAGGCAGTTATATTATGTTTATTTATTTATTTCAGGCACTTATATTATGTTTATTTATTTATTTCAGGCACTTATATAGCGCCGTCAATTTATGCAGCGCTTTACATACACACATTTTATATATATATATATATATATATATATATATATATATACTGTATATATAGTACATTCACATCAATCCCTAACCCTCAAGGGGTGTACAATCTAAGGTCCCTAACTCACATTCATATACTAGTGCCAATTTAGACAAGATTCAATTAACCTACCAGCATGTCTTTGGAGTGTGAGAGGAGACCGGAGTACCTGGAGGAAACCCACACAGGCACAGGAAGAACACGCAAACCAAACTGTGGTAGGGATTCGAACCAAGGACCCTAGTACTGCCGAGCTAACCATTTGGCCACTGTACTGCCCCCCTGATGTCAATAAATGTATCAATATGTTTTAGTAAAGAACTGCAGTTTAAACAAAGACATCTGCATTGTGTCTAATGGCAAAGAACACTAAGTATTCACAGTTGTGCCCCAGCTGTTAAAACTGGAAAGACTTTTAATATACAAATAAACAGACAGCTGACACCCAACATTCGGAACAAGTCGAAGCGATAACTAAAAGGATTTCCTTGTACTTGTGCCCCAATCCAGGCATCCAGTATGGCTGCCATGTTCCCAGAGTTTCAGCATGTGACATTTCACATTGGATGGAGTGGTAAGGGATTGGAACACCTGTGTGGTTCTACTGCAGAAAGTTTTTCCTTGCTGGGGAGATCCAGTGGAGACCCCTGTAGTGCAGACTGCTAAGGGGAGATTTGGACAGATTTCCACTTACTTAAAAAAAAAAAAAAAAAAAAAGAAAAGAAACCTGACAGGTATTAACCATTCCCTTCCCTATCCAAGCTTAAACAGGCATTTTTGTTTTAGAGGCTGGAGAAATAAAGTAAGTCTCCCAAATAATTTCTTACGACTTTCAAGGTAATGACATCTCTGTGTTTGCATTCCCAGGCCTGTACACCTGCCAATGCAATTACTAGGGGGGGTCCCAGCTCTTTAGCCTATGTTATTTTACGGAGAATCTAGTTGGGGGAGCACCCCGAACTCCCAGGTGATAAAGGTGGGTACTAAGAAGATTATGCCATTGGCGTTCCTAAAACATAAAAAGCCAGCGAGTGATTGAGCGATCTAGACTGCACTTCTAACCAAAATATTACTTTTTCATGAACGTTCCCTTTAATTCCGGCTAATCACTATTATATACTATCCTAGGATTATTCTGAAATAAGAGAAAACAGAAAATAATTTCCAACTAAAATGCTGCCTCTTTGACTCGCCTGCCAAGCACTGCATGCTTTCTTTAGACTTTAAGTGCGCCAAGTTCAAAACGAAGGGTTCGCTGAATGTCCTCTGGATTTACATGACCGAAGCCCTATAATTTATGCATGCTCTGAGCCTCTTGGTAGCAAGATGAGAAAAAAATGGGTCATTACAAGATAAATGCATTCTGAACTAGCAAGTTTTAATTACACTTAAACAATCATTATGTAACACTTTACAACAAACTCCCTCCCATGAGACGGCAGCAAGTAAAACAGCAGTTTCTCGCAGCGTGTGGCTGTTTTAATAAGTATCAAGGGTTTTCAGATGCGGACATTAAAGGGCTTGTAAAATGAAGCTAAAAGTCATTCCATAGAAAATAGCTTGTAATATATTTCACAAACATAAATGTACAATTTGCTATACCAATTGGTATACAGTGTATCATCTTGTATTGAGTGTTTGGACATCTCTCTAACAAAGTACCATGTTTCTGGGGAGTCTGTCAATGTCCACATTAAAGGAAAGCTCCAGAAAACAGAAATGGGGGAACTGGGGAGCACAGTACTTTGGGAAGTGTAATGTTTTAATTATGCTTTCTTCTGCGCTTTGCTTTCTGAAGGCTGCCAGCAGTACAGTTAGAACATTGCTTCCAGTCCATGCACTTTCTATGTCCTGTCCCTGCTATTTTCTACATGTAAATAGTTGCTGTAATAGATGTCTATGGAGCAGCAACTTTCAGTTTCCCTTTAAATCCCACACTCATCGATTTTATAGTCACCTCTTTTTCACTCCCTAGCCGCTTCCAGTTCTATTGCAGCCACCAAAATACCTGTCGTTAGAGTGCAGAATGCGCAGTGACTTCATTCCCTCCTTCATCTGACTGCAAGTACCAACCTCAGGGAAGTTAGAAATAGGATGCCCCTTTTTGCACCTTACCATCAGCCATCAATTATGATGGATGGTCTCATTCATCAATAGAGAATCGCAAAAGGCAGGCCAATTGCTGACTACCAAACTAAAGTTAGTTTTCATATATTAATATAACCAGGTTCTGGGGCTCTGGACGATAAGTGGAACGAAGTGCAGGCCTCTAGAGGTGTGGAGGTTAGTCAGGTAAACAGGAAAAGTTGCCAAGAAGCAGGGACGTCCCTAGGGTTGGTGTCACCCGGTGCGATAACACTTGGTGACACCCCCTCCGACGATCCCTGCAGAATGGATCGGATCTGAGGATTGAGCATAATGGATCGGAGTCTGATCCATTATCCTCCCCAATCAGCAGATCTGATCCATCCTGCGGGGATCGTTGGAATGCAACCTATACGGGGTGACACCGCCCCCACTCCACGAAAAGGTAAGTTGTAAAGCAAGACGACGATTCCCCGCAGGATGGATTGGATCTGCGGATTAGGGAGCATAATGGATCAGACTCCAATCCATTCTGCTCAATTCCACAGATCCGATCCATCCTGTGGGGATCGTCGGCTTGCTTTACAACTTACCTTTTCGTGGAGTGGGTCCAGTGTGACCCCGTGCGGTAGGTGTCACCCGGTGCGGCGCGTACCCCCCGCACCTGCCTAGGGATGCCACTGCCAGGGAGTATTTTGTATTCTCAAATCCATCCAAAGGATGGAGCTCTTGTGTTTTCACATTTCACAGGCTATCCTTGTATGAATTGCTGTGTAAATCCCCTCCTCCCCCCATTATTTTTGTAAAGATGAATGGTTCACGCACCAATGTATTGTGAATTAATCAGAGGATCCACCTCCCTTCTCTGCCTTTTAGGACAGCTCAGCATGAAGTTTCAATCAGACAAACAGCTTCTTTGCGTTATCTCTTTAGCAAACATTTCTCCTAATAGGTACAGCCAGCATTAAATGTTTACGTAAAATTAATTAAATTATTAGTCCAAAAGATGGATAAACGTAAAATAATTCACTTTGCACAAGACTATTATAGCTTATTTTTAATTGTCCAGATTTTTAAGTGCCATTAAACCTAAAATCTAGGTAGATACAGGAAAATTAATTAAACATCAAAAGCATTTTTAAACGCATTTGGTGTAAGTCTGAATTTGAAAGCCTCTTGCAATCCCCTGTTCAGCAGCACTCATGACTAGGAGAAAGAGGTACAGTACTGGGAACCAATCAGGTGTGCTGCATGCAAGGAACATGGTGATAAGAGAACAGAGGGATGACTTTGTGAGTCTGTTGCTCTTTCACTGTCCAGTAAGCAGGCTGGGGACAGGGAGGTGACACCTTTGTATTGGTCAAAGCACCATTATATGCAAAATATGAATGAACTCTAAGCCCTTTCTCCCACCCCTCTCTAAACCATCCTGATAGGCTTTATATTTTTATTTCCTGGCGAAAATATATTCACCTAAAGTCGGCCATAGATGGTTAAATTTTCTTTCCTGCAACCATGGGTTGCAGGAAAGAAAATCACTTGATTCCCCATCAACACAGTCAGTAGTGATGAGGATATCCCTCCCACAGAGCCATTGTGTTCTCCAGGCGGAGGGAAGAACACACAGTGATTATTGCTAGTGGCTATAGCCGCTGGCAATAATCGCAAAATTGATCAATCAACTTGGGTACATTTGGCCTCACCATACATGGTTCAAATCTCACCCGGTTCAGCAGGAACATGGACATGGGCTTCGAATAGTCCATGGCCAGCTTTAGCCCCCCCATCCAGGTCCCTTGCAGCTGCCTTTTCTGGGTGCAGGGGAATGCTAATCCAGTGCTGTAAATCTGCCCAATACCTCCGGTCCCCTACAGACTCATCTGCTGACATCAGTCCTCCTCTGCATCCTAAGAGGACCATGCCTGTAGGAAGTATCCATGTCATCCATGGACATCCAAAAGAACCCACCAGAAGCCTCTGGACCCGATTGTCATGTGACAGTGGCTTTAATGTAAAAAAGGATTTTAGATCTGATCTGGCTTTTTTTTTTTTTTTAAATCAGCGATCAATAAGATGGGGGTGGGCAGTGGGTTACTTTTAATCTGGAAAGGGGATTAAACTGTAACAGAGAAAGTGGTGTCTTCCACCTGGCTGTGCTGTCCAGCAAGACTGTATAATTCTTAAGAATGCCTTGACAGAAATATAAATCCTTTGGCAGGTATAGCAGCTTCCAAATATGCATTTTATTTGTGTACTTCGCCATTAGCGCAGAGTTCACATTTAAGGTTTTCCTTTTGTCTATCACAGTCTAACTAGAGCCAAAAGCT